CATTCTGTGGCCCTATGTACGTATGGTCTTCGAGCCCCCCGCTCGCACGCGCCCGTCGTGGCCCCATATGCATGTCTTTCGCGGCCCCGCTGTTGCCCTTCCCCTGTCTTAGGGGCTGCACGACATGCATGTTGCAGGAAAGAAATATATAAGAAGAGGGCGGGTATCGAGGGTTTGGTAACAGTTGTGGCTTGTACTGTTGTTCCCTACCTAGGCTCTGCTTAGAAGGGTTCTTACTCTGTTGGCTTAAAGGGGCCGGGCAGTAGGGCTCGCCCGGGGCGGTTCCCCCGGCATCCGCCCCGCGGTTCCCCCAGTTATGTCCCCTTAACTGAGCGTTGCTTATCTCATCTTAGCTTAGCTTTTTTCATCTTAGCTTAGCTTGGCCTAGCCTAGCTTAGCTTAGCTTAGCCTAGCTTAGCTTAGCCTAGCCTGGCCTAGCCTAGCCTAGCTTAGCTTAGCTCAGCTTAGCTTAGCTTAGCGCAGCGCAGCATTAGCATAGCATAGCATAGCACAGCATACCATACCATCTCATACCATAGCATAGCGCAGCACAGCATAGCAAGTCATATCATAGCATAGCATAGCATAGCACAGCACATCATATCATAACATATCATAGCTGAGCTTAGCATAGCACAGCGTAGCATAGCATACCATAACGTAGCATAGCATAGCATAGCATAGCGCAGCATATCATAGCACAGCATAGCGCAGCATAGCATAGCATAGCTCATCATAACATAGCGCAGCATATCATAGCATAACATAGCGCAGCATCGCATAGCATAGCATAGCATAGCATGTCATAGCTTAGCATAACCTAGCACAACACAGCGCAGCATAACATACCCTAGCATACCCTAGCCTAGCATAACCAACAGAAAAAAAAACAAAAGTCACGCACAAGCAACAACAAAGGCAAAAACAAAAGCAAGAGCAATAGCAAAGGCAATGCAAAGCAAAAGCAACACCAATGCGAAGGTGTAGATGTAGATTTAGATGTAGGTTTTGGTGTAGATGTGGATGCAGGTGTAGATGTAGATGTACATGTAGGTGTAGATGTAGGTGTAGATGTAGATTTAGATGTAGATGTAGATGTGAGTGTAGTTGTATATGTACATGTAGATGTAGATGTGCATGTGTACATGTAGATGTGCTGTAGGTGTAGATGTGGATGTAGGTCCAGGTCCAGATGTATATGTAGGTAGTAAGCTGTACTATTACTACTACTACTACTACTACTCCTGCTGCTGCTGCTGCTGCTGCTGCTGATGATGCTACTGCTACTACTACTACTACTACTACTACTACTACTACTACTACTACTACTACTACTACTACTATTACCGCTACTGCTACAACTGCGACGATGAGGAGAAGGAGGAGGACGGCGTTTACCGTTACTACTAATATTGCTCTCCTCGGGGCTCCAACTCCTAGGTAGGGTCGCTTTGGGATAATAATTAAATTCTCACGACTAAAGAATAATTATTGTTGATCCCACCTCCGGTAACACATGAAATGCCCCTCCCGGGGCTCGCACTCGGATTTTTATCAGGGAAGATCTTCCTCAAATTGCGCTCCCCAAATTTTCCCGCAATTTTCGGGAATCGCGCTCTCGCTAGGGATTTCCATACATTTAATCAAGAATCGCGCTCGCGCCTGTGACTTCCTCTCAATGTGTTCAGGCGCCACGCCCTCGCCATTCAGGAATCGCGCTCTCTTTCCTCATCATTTACTGAGGGGTCGCGCTCTCGTCCGAGACTTCTGGCGAATTGTGGAGGATTCACGCATTCGCCTAACATGTATTTTTCCATTGAAGTGCCCCTCCCGAGGCTCGCTGTGTTTTTATCGGGGAAGGTCTTCCTGCTCAAATTGTGCCCCTGGCTCCTGGTTTACAACAACAGCGGCTCCCGCCTGATATTTCCGCAAATTATTTCCAAATTGCGCTCTCGCGAGGGACTTCCTCATACTTGAATGCAGGAATCACGCTTTCGCGTGGGACATCCTTGCAGTTTCTTCAGACGCCACGCCCTCGACACTCAGGAATCACGCTCTCGCTGGGGATTTTTTCAAGATTTATTGGGGAAACGCGTTGTCCTTTTTGGTTTCTTTTTGGTGCTCCTAGGGGTCTCGTGGGGCATCTTGGGGCCCTCCTGGGAGCCTCCTGGGGGCCTCTTGAGGCGGAAGGCCCGAATTGTCGGTTCGTGCTCCCCTTCTTTGGCCCCTCTTGGGGCCGTCTTGGGGCTCTGTTGGGTGCCTCTTGGGCCGGTTTGGGGCCTTCTTGGACCGTCTTCGCTTGGGGCGCGCCGACGTGCCCTAGGGCGCGTGGCCTTCCGTTCCTTTCCTTTCCTTTTCTTTTGAATGGGGGCTTCTTGGGCTGTCTTGGGGCGGTCTTGAGGGCCTCTGGGGCCATCTTACAGCGTCGGGAGCTCGAACACGCCGGAACGCGAAAAACATCGAACACCATACGAAAAATCAATGATTGTTGCGTCTTGGGGCCTTCTTGGGGGTCCTTTTGGAGCGCTCTTGGGGCTTCTTTGGGGCCGTCTTGAGGCCATATTGGGCGTCTTGGAGCGCTCATGAGCTGTTTTGGAGGCCTGTTGGACCCTCTTGGGCGCTTTGTGGAGCCCTCTGGGACCGTATTGGGGCCCCCAGGCTTTTGGGAAAGTCGCGCGAGGCAGCCAGGAGCGCGCGGGAACGCGCATGAAATTTTAGAATCTGGGGCCCCAGCCCCTAGAATGCCAGAATCCCCCAGTCCTGAGCACAGTGAACAGAAGACACATGAGAGCGTGGGGCTAATTTCACTTCGGGCCTCGAGGCACGGTGGTGGATTTATAACGTTCCGTGCCCCTCACGCCACTCGTGTGTGGCCCCGCTAGAGCGCGCAAGGTATTCGGACGCCATGCTAGTTGAAACGTTCTGTGCCGCGTGCACCCCTCCACGGAGGACCCGCCAAAGTGCGCAGGATATTCGGAAACTATGTATTTACCGCGTTTGGTGCCCCCCACACCTTTCAGAGAGGCCCCGCCGACGCGCGCGGGGTATTCGGACAGCGTACGCTTTAAATCGTTTCGTGCCCTTCACATCCCTCCAGGGAGGCCCCACCAGAGCGTGTAGGGTATTCGGACACTAGACAATTTACCATGTTTCGTGCTCCTCACACCCCTCCTGGGAGGCCCCGCCAAAGCTCGCAGGGTTTCCGGATGTCGGATACCGTGTTATTTGCAACGCTTGATGCCCCCCACACTCAGCAGGGAGGCCTTGCCAGAGCGAACAGGGTATTCGGATACCATGTTAATGTGAAGGCCTGGCGGCTGGTGCCGGAGACCCTGACGGGAACGTCGACGGCGGCGGCGGCGACGACGCCCGCGCTCTGGAGCACTGCTTGGGGTGTCCCGGGGGCCTCTTGGGCTTTGTTGGGGTCGGAGCTGGGGCCGGGGTCGGGTGGGGCTCTGTTTGGGCCGGCGCGTGGCCGGGACCCGGGCGGGGCCAGAGCGGGGGCCAGAGCCGGGGCCGAGGCGGGGGAGGGTACTCCCTTGCCGTCAGGGAGACCACCCCCTGTCCCCGTTCTCCACATGGGTGACCGCTCGACGACCCCGGGGACACCCTGGGACTCCCCTGGGACTCTTCCCGGGACCCCCCCCCGAGCGCCCCCCGGGACGACCCCCCGGCAGGGAAGGGATCAACGAGAAGGACTTATCTTCGAACCGACTACGACGTTGTATGATTTCTGTTTGGCTAGATCGCTCGACGCGGAGGGGACGATGACGACAAAAACGGAAAAGCGTCTCAAACACGCTGAAGAGTCGGCGGATCTACTACGTTTCGGGTGCACGCCCCTCCAGAGAGGCCCCGCCAGAGCGCGCAGGGTAGTCTGATACCGTACTATTCACCATGTGCCGTGCCCCTCACATTCTTCCTGGGTGGCCCCGCTAGAGCGCGCAGAGAGTCGGAATACCATTCTATTTGCAGAATTCCTGGCTCTTCACACCCATCCAGGGAGGCCCCGACCGAGCGCGCAGGGTATCCAGACACTATACTATTTGCAACGTCTCGCGCCCTTCACACTCCAGTGAGGCCCCTGCCAGAGCGCGCAGGGTATTCGGATACTACCTCCTACGAGGCCCCGCCAGAGCGCGCAGGGTATTCGGATACCGTACTATTTACGACGTTTCGTGACCCTCTCACCCCTCCAGAGAGGCCCCCTCAGAACGCGGCTGGCGACGGTGCCCCCCCTAAGCCCGCTTCCTTTTATATTTCTGACGTGAGGAACTCAGATCGCATAGTTTGTGACATGATAGACCGCCTTAGTGGCGCCCTCGATGTAAGGCATACTTTGGCAGCTGTATAGTCTGATCATCTCTGTGCCACACTAGGGGCATGCTTTGTCTGGAGAAGAGCTCGGGGACGCCAAGAGGCTTCTGTTTCAAAATGTTGCGCAGCCAATTGCAATTCTGACGGACGTCGATCAGATCCCCGAGTGCTTTGAACAATCTGCCATGCGGGTTTCTCGACTCGTGTCTAGGATGTGCATGCTGTCCCCAGACGGCTCGAACGACACTTGGTTTGCAGACTCCTACGCATGAAATGCACCATGATAATTGTAGACGTACTCGAGCACTGTCCTGGTCATGCCGCAGAACCGGCGCCAGCAATTCGAATCGTCGGCAAATGCCGCTTCAAGGAAGCCCAGAAGTGCAATAGCCTCTCGCGCACCAGAGCACCCCAATTCCCAGAAAGGTGGACCAAGTACGGTTCCCTGGAAAACCATTTCCTCCAGGTCGACGGGTTCTGACAGCCACCATGAGCGTTCCTAGGCGAGAGCCAAGTACGCATACCTTTCAACAGTGTTCCTTTCACGCCTCTCTTCCTCTCTTTCTCTCTCGGGTTTCTTTGGTCCTCTGGCAAGCGCGAGGGCGCAAGCGCCTCGTCGTGTCTCCTCTTCTCTGTGCCCCTCTCCTCTCCACTGTGTGCTATTGTGTACTCCGCGGCGCGAGGAAAAAACGCAGGAAGCAGAGGGCCGCAAAGGCTGCTGCTGCAGGCGGCGAGAAAGCTGCTGGCCCAGCTGCAGGCGCTGCTCTCAGCCCCCGCTTGCCTCCCATGGTATTTGTGTTTACTGGTACTGGTTCGCTCTCCTTTTCACTCAAGTCTGACCCAACCGCCGTCGGGGATGTCCTGTGAGAGAGTCCACTTTGTATATATATATATATATAGACATATATATAGACATATATAAATATATATGTACACATACATATATATATATATATATATATATATATATATATATATATATATACATACCCCCCTATGGGGGGACTGGGGGGGTCCCAGTGCTCCCAGGATTGCCTGGGTCCGCTCCCAGAAACGCCACGACACGCCAAGAGGGCCCTAAATATTGCCAAGACAGCCCCCAGAGGCCCCAGACACACCGAAGATGGCCTCAGGACGGCCGACGGCGCCGCCAAAACGCCCCAACAGCGCCTCCAGAGGCCCCACCAAGGCCCCAGAAGCTGAAAATCATTCACTTTCTGATGGTTTTTTAAGCATTCTTGCGCTCTCCCATGTTCCGCCTCCCCATGGTCCCGGACGGCGTCAGAGGCCCTTCAGATCGCTTCAAGACGGCCGAAGAGGCTCCCAAGGAAGCACAGACGGCCCAGGAGGCTCCCCAGATAATTCAAGAGGGCCTCGAGAGCGCCCCAAGAGAGCCCCAAGAGCGACCCAAGAGAGCCCGAAGAGCGCGACATTTCAAGGTCGCAAGCCTGAGAGGCTCCTAGGACGCCCCCAGAGGCCATCAAGAGGTTCCCAAGAAGCCCCGTGAGGCTCCCAAGAGCCCCCCTGGAAGCGCCAATATGCCCCCAGGGAAGCCCCCTGCGGGCCCCCAAGACACCTCGGTAAATCGCATTTCCCAGACAGCTTTCCGGGAACATGATTCTGTGGGCTTCGATCCGCCCACCGCCCCAACCATGTTTCCAATAGGATTGCCGACAAGGCCAAAAGGGGCCCCTCTGTAAGCCCCCAGAGGCCTCCCTCTTAAGAGAGCCGAACAAATCATGCTCCAGGAAAGCTTCCCGGGAAGAGGATTCTCGGGTAGCCGCCCTCTGCCCAAACCATGTTCCCTAAACGCCTGCCTGGAAAAAAAACGAGAGTCCCAAGCAGCGCTACCTGCCGCCACGTGCGGAAACGCGTCAGGCCCCGAAGCCTCCGGAGGCGCCCAACGACACCCCAACAAATCATGTTCCCAGGAAGCCTTGCGGGAACATGATTCCTCAAGCTTCCGCCCCCGGCCCCAACCATGCGTCCCAAAATACTTGCCGGGCAGCCCCCCAATGAACCTTCATGCACGCCATCATGTTACCAGAAAGCTCTCCGATAACATGATTCCTCATGTTTTCGCTCCCCGCACGCAACATCTGTCCCAAAGCGCACGTCAAGCAGGACTGGAATGGGCCCTCAAGTACTTTCCTAGAAGCCCCACAATATGCTGATGATGACGTTGATGATGACGAAGGTGACGATGATGACGGTGATGGTGATCGTGATGGTTGTGATCATGCTGACGACGATATCCACGATTTCGAGGAGGATATCGAGGGGGATGGCGATGGTGACGATTACGAGGATCCTAGCTAGAACTTGAGCGCGCGCGAAGCGCGCGCGATGGTTCTAGTAGACACACACACACATATATATATATATATAAATATACCGTCAGGTTCAGACTGGGTCATCCCCTCCCCTTCACCCTCCCCCTTCACGTTTCCCATTTTCCCACTTCGCTCCCTCCTCACCTTTCTCTCTCCTCACTCACCAGTGCCCCTGTTTCCACTGCCCCGCTTCCCGCCCTCTGCTCTCCACGTGGGTGTATGCTCATCTCCCCTCCTCACGGTTCCTCTTCGCGTCGCCTCTCGCTCTCCTCTCCCACGCCCCTCTTCGCTTCGTCCCCTCCTCTTTTTGTCGGGCTCCCCTTGCCATCTCTCTGGCCTCGCCCCCACCCCCCCCTCCTCTTCGCCTTCTCCCTGCTCCACCTCTCCCTCCTCTCCCTCCTCTCCCTCCTCTCCCTCCTCTCCCTCCTCTCCCTCCTCTCCCTCCTCTCCCCTCTCCCCCTCGCCCGTCTCCTCGACCATCCTCATCCGCCCTCCTCCCCCCCTCCCCTCCCGCCCCTCTCTCTCTCCCTCCCGCAGGGGGGCCACGCGGCAGGCGCGGGCGCTGCTCGCCCGACGCCCCCGCCCCCGCCCACCAGGTGCGGCCGCCAAGCCCGCGGAGGCCGCCCCGGCCGCGGCGGCCCCAGAAGACGCGGAGACGGCGCAGGCCAAGAAGCAGGCGCGGCCGCAAGCGGGGCGATCGGGGTGACGAGCTGCGCTCCCGGGCGGGCAGGTTCGAGGTTCTCTGATCCGGGAAGGTTTTTTCCCCGACCCTCCCGTGTTGTATGCTCGGTTTGAGTGGAGCACTGTGGTATCCACTACTTCTTCTCCTCCCCCCTCCTCCTGCCTTCTCCTGTGCTGCTCTCTGGGAGGCTGCGAACTGTGCAACTGTCGCCACTTTCGTGGGCTCCTGGGAGGCTCTGCGGAGGTGGGGGCCACGCAGATCACTTGGGGACCTCGCGGCTCCCTAGGAGGCTGCGAACTGCGCAAGTGTCGCCACTCGTGGGCTCCTGGGAGGTCCAGCGGAGTCGGGGAGAACGCGGATTTATCGCTGAGTTGGGGACCTCGCGGCTCCCTCAGGTGGCTGCGAACTGTGCAATTGTCATCACTTTCGTGGGCTCCTGGGAGGCCCGGTTGAGTCGGGGGCCACGCGGATCCATTTGGGACCTCGCTGCTCCTTGGGTGGCTGCGAACTGCGCACCTGTTAGTACTTTCGTGGGCTGTGAACTGCGCACTGGAAGGCACGGCAGAGGTGAGGGCAGCGCAGATCCATTTGGTATCTCGCGGCTCCCTCGGGTGGCTGCGAACTGCGCAATTGTCGCTACGTTCGTGGGCTCCTGGAGGGCGCGGCGGAGGTGAGGGCAGCGCAGATCGTGCATACCTGGCGATGTGCTCTTTGTATGGCATGTTCGTGCGAATATTCGGCTCGCGTGGAGAAGGTTGGGTACTTCTCGAGTAATTTCCCTTTTCGGCCTCGGGAGGCGTTTTCGGGTCCAGGGACTATCAAGAATGGATCTGGGGTGAAACATTGCACCAGATGGACCCCAGGAGTGGTCCTGGGACCGATTTTGAACGGATTTGTCTCCACCCCCCCTCCTGATCAATTTTCTGGTGTCCCAACCCCCCGGCCTCCTCCAACGTCTCTGCCTTCGCCCTCGCACTCTTCTGGGGCCGTCTGGGCCCTTGTCATTGTCGGCCTGACTTTCTCTCTCTCTCTCTCTCTTGCCCCCGCCTCCTACCCGTGTGCCACCTCACCGCCTCCGTCGCTCTTCTTCTCCGTCTTCGTGACTCCGCAGTCGCTGTGGGTTGAGCCGAAGAGCGTAATTATACATGTGCACGGTTGTTCCTTCTGGCCGCCAGTCGATTTGCTGGAGGCGCAGGGCGGGACAATTCGGCATGCGACGGAATATGCTAGGTTTTCCGCGGAGCCCTGGCAGGTGTGCGTGCAGTACGCTGATTGGTGGCTGTCAGTGGTGTGGTCATTTTTGCATTATTCTGCTTGTCTTCGCGCTCCTTAGGTCCTCCCCTGAAGCTGGAACAAGTGGGCCAGATCAATGTCCCGTGGCAGTTGGAGCTTCGATGCGCGCTGCGGTGCTCAGGTGTTGGCCAAGCTAACCGACATCAAGAACGTGGAGCCGAAGGAGCTTCCCAATAGAGATCTCCGACCGCAGCCTATGGATGGGGGATGTAGGGCTCAACTCCACCACCGCAGCATACTCATGTTCAGCACGTCGGAATCGTGCCCTGTGATCTAGAGGAGTGGTGTATAGATCTTGAGATGTGGCCGCCCCTGCCGGCGGGAGCCGACACAGTTTCAAAGCTAATTGCTCACATTGTTTCTTAGATGCCCGAAACGCTTTACGGACCGCAAGGTCATCTTCGAGATGGCTATATGGAGCTGCGCGCCAGGTGTCTCAGGGGCTTCGAACTCCGCACGGGCACCTTGCAGGCAACTCCCAGAGCACTGGCATGTTGAGTGTTGATTTCTGAGGCCTAGGCGGGGCGCACCACGCGACGAGGAGTAGACTGGAGGATAATCAGAGGAGCATGAAGTATTGATATTGATAGTTTTCAAGATTTCCAGGTTTTCCTGTTCTTCCGAGCGGGCTACAGGGACGAATGGTCGAGCGCATTCCGTCGCGCAGGTTCTTTGCGCGATGTGCGCGGTGCATTTTTTGCGCATCGGAGCGCCCTCGGAGATGCCGAGTTGTATGCTGTGTTGCTCTTGGGTAATCCGCGAGTCGCAGCTGCCGCGGCGCTGTTTCCGAAGTGACCCCTTCGAGTGCTGTTCGCGGGCGCAACGCGCGGCGCGCGCTGCGCCCAATCGCGCGCGGCGCGGTGCGTAAATCAGCCGGCCGCGCCCGTCGGACCGCCCGGAAATTATTTCTGGATTGTAGAATGTTTCGCAAAAAGGCTCAGTTTTTCTGGCGCAAGCGGTTCCAGAATTTTTCAAGAAGGAGCCCGGACTTTTTCAAAAAAACAGTTTTGAGGTGTGGAATGCGCCCGCCGCGCAGGACATCTGAAGAATTCTGAAATCCGGAATTTTTCAAAATCTATTTCGGAATTTTTCAAAATCGAACCCGGAATTTTTCAAAATCGATTCTGCTATTTTTTAAAAAGTAGGCCGGACATGTTCAACGACGTTCCCGGAGTTTCTCAAATTTGCCCCCGGAGAATTTTCCAGAGTCGCGCGTGATTTGCCACGCCAGGTTTTTGGAAATCCGCCGAGGCGCGCAGTGCGCGGCGGCGGGCGGTGGGACGGCGCGCCGCCGTCCCCCCCGCGCTCGGCAACGAGAATTCGGATCAGCGAGTGCCAAATAGCCCCCTACGGGCGACCACTCGATTGCGAGTAGGTGACCGACCAGCGGCGCCAGACAGAGTAGACAATACTCGACGCAAAGTGTGCCCCGCGCGAAAATTGTTAGAAATCCCGGAATCCCCGGAACGTATCAATAGCACGTTGTGTCAATATAGAGTCTTGTCGTCCTAGATAAGGGAAAACGAGGCACGATAGTAGGAGGGGGGCAGAGAAAGTATCGAGCGAGCGAGCGAGTTAGCATAGCCAGGGTCGGTTGCAGCGAGAGGCAAGTGGCGGCGGCACTTCACAGCCTGAGAAGCTTGCGTGCGCCGAGCTGTTGTCACGAGGTCCTGGCGTGAGCTCTTCGAGCTCCGTTCGGGCGTTCCGCAATGGGGGGACGAGAGTTGGGGGTCTGCAGAAAAGTGCGCCTTTCCGTGCCCTAAAAGGGCCCCGAAGGGGCCCCTCAGGGCCCAGGAGCCAGTTTCTTCATTGCTTGGGGCAGGATGGGCGTCATGGCCCCCGCTCCCCCCCCCTATGACGTAACGCTCCCCACCTCAGTGCGCTCTGGGCACTGCCGCCGTGCGTTTTGGGTTCCGCGTAGGTGTCCGCGTAGGTGACCGCATAGGAGTCTGGTTCGCAGTCGTCGTCGTCGTCGTCGTCGTCGCTCGTGGTTTGTCGCTCGTCGCTCATAGTCGTCGTGCGCGCGGACGCGGCTGAAGCTAGTTTTTTTTATACCGGGCCGATGGCGGCAATCATCTAGGGGGGGTGGAGGGGATCGATGTCGTCACGTTTGGCGCCGGCGGCGTTTGGGAATGCTTCGGAATGACGGAGGACGGGTAGCGCAAGCATGTAGGTTGCGATTTTCACACAACGCCTGTGTACACCACTGTGCTTGCGTGCACCACAGCGCCTGTGTACACCGCGCCGCCTATGTACACCACAGCATCCGCGTGCAACACAACGTCAGTTGGTGCCACCGTGCACGCGGGCACAACAGCTCTTGTGCACACCACAAGGCTTGCGTACACCACACCAACCGTGTGCAACACAGCGCCAGTGTACACCACAATGCCCGCGTGCATTGCATTGCCTGTGTGCACCATGGCGTTTGTGTGCACCACAGCAACCGTGTGCAACACAGCACCACTGTTGTATAGAGGATGTTTAAACGAAGCCTTCTGACAAATTGGAACGCTTGTGGATTCCACAGAAAACAATAGAACATAATCCTTATGGACAACGGATCGTCTCTGCAATCTACGAGTCATCCCGAGTCCGCCCGCATCACCCTACCTCTTCCCATTTGCGTCCAGGAGGCTCCAGCTGAATTGTCCGTCCGGGAACCAAGTGGACCGATTCAATAGACCATTCTGCGGTGCGCACTGAGATGCGCACGTGCGCTGTAGCGCCAACCCGCACGACAGGGGTTAAGGAAGAGGAGGAGGAGGACGATTTTTTGTTCACGCTCCACTGCCGTTCGACCCCCTCTTCAGGGGACCATCTGCTTCATCTCCCTACTGTACAGTCCAGGGAGACGGGAGGAATCTGACATTCTTCTCCCTCTTGATCAGATGTGGGTGCCTGCCTTGGAAAAAATATGTCCAAACAGTGTGGCCAGCCCCCGTCTTCGACTGGGCACAGGGAGCACCCAATTTCATCACGCGGCCCCCTGAGCTGTAAAACCGCATCGGCGACAAATACAGGAACGAGCCATCCGAGCAGTCCACAACCGCACGTTGGTGGCCGTTCTGCTCGATCAGACTAGGGCTGACCTTCGGCGGGACAACACATCGGCCAGGCGGAGGGCAAACGGCAACTCGCCTTCCTCGCAGACATGCCGTGCAGTGCCAAAACTCCCGTCCAGGCCCACTCGTGGGCCCCGAACTCCGGAGATCTCACGTCTCTCGGAGGCCTGATGAATTCAGCCTGCGAAACATCGAGGCGAGGCCATTTAGGCAGCAGCTTCGCAGCAAGTGAAATAACAGATTTGGCTATCTTGGCAGCGCGATCGATGCGTTGCAAGAGTTCAGGCTCCGCCTGAGGGTGAAGACACGCTCCTCGTTTGGCCGTTGTGTCAGCATGCTGGTTGCCAGTTCTGCGCCATCGCTCCAGCGCCGATATGCCATCCTCGCCCAGATCTTTGTGAGCCGAGACTTTGACTAGGCCTTCTAAACGCGGCCCAGCACCCGAGGTGGCTTCGAGCATCGAGCACCGAGCCGGTGTAGGCCATCTGCCCCCCGAGGCGGTCCCGCGGAGCCCGAGAGGCCACGGAAACAACGAGGCGCAATCGGAATACAACACAGACTGCTCGTCAAGGTTGACACCCGCGGCCGGACTAGAGAATTCTACCGTTTGCGGGGTTTCTTGCATGTGGGCCCACGCGGGCCCGTAAACACGGGCCAGCATGCGGCTTTGGCCAGATAACATCGCAAACGCCCAACCAGCCCTGGGGAGCCCGCGGATTTTTGAGTAAAAGCAACTGCCGTTTCAAAACACATTTCCTTGGTGCTTTACAGACTCGGGCCCAGGATGCTCCAAACCAGAAAACAGGAATCCTTTTTGAAGTGTCCCACAGTCATGCCAGCCATTCCATCTTGCTTGAAAGGGGGCGGGACGAGGTCTCCAGGGTGAGCGAAAGTACCGATGGGGAAATTGATCAGGTCGGAGGAATTATTCACAAGGGCCTCCTTGGCCCACAGAATCATACCAGCATCAACCAACTCGGCTCGCTCGTCCTGGCAGGCCCCGCACTCCCAGATACGGTGTAGTCTTACAAAGAGCACGAAGGGGGCTGACCTGGTAGCCGCACCTCAGCGCACGCGAGTTGGTCCAAATAGCATTGCAGACAAGGGCTCTCAGGGAACCCTTTTCCCAAGCCGTGTTTTTTTCGAGCGGAGACCAGCCGTGACGAGATCAAAACAGAGACGGTTCGATCCCGACAGCTCGAGGGGAGTGCGATCGGGGGCCAACTGCTCGCTGGGGCAAGCTAAGCCCTCGTCAGCAGCTGGAGCAGCAAGACCTCAGATCAGGCCACCTTCGACCGGCTTGTGGTATGCAGCCCTCTCCAGTTGGCGAAGAACAGCCTGCCTGAGCAGCGCTTTGAACATAGCGGGCGACTGCAGGGTGCAAGAGATTTCGCGGCCCATGTCATCAATAAAGACAGCTAGATTCTTCATGTCCCATCCCATCCTGGAGCTCATGAACATCGCACTCCTGGGCCCCGAAACCTTCATCCAGGTAACAGTCTTCTGACGGCTAGCGAAGACACTCCCCCAGGAAGCTCGAATCGTGGCCCAGTCGATGGCCCCCTGGAACTCAAGCGTCCGAAGGAGCCAGATTTCTCTGACATGCCGAAGGATGGGGGCAACCGAACCGCACCAGACAGGGCTCCCTTCCCGGAGCGAAAGAACAGTGAGAGAACGTCTCGCAGCATCAGACTTGATCACGCTGGCAGCCATGCGCCTAAGACCGTGCACATCACCGTCGATGAGGCCTTGGATCTCGCAGCCAAAGATATAGCCAGGCATAGGCTCCGATGCAAAATCTTTCACAGCTTTCCTGCCAAAGTGTGAACGCATCTTCTTCAACCTCTTGACCTTCCTGAGCGTCTTCCTCTTCCTCTCCTTCCTCTTGCGTATTCTCCCTTTTCCCGTCCTGAAAGCCTTGCCAGCTGTGTCGTCGCATCCGAGGTTAACAGCGGAGGCTTCCAGCGCTCCGAACTGGCCTAGGTAAGCCTCCAGCTGATTGCCGAGAGAATTGCGAGAGCAGACGGGAGCCACTTTGTCTCACGCAACACAACGTCCAAGCATCTGCCTGATGTCCGCGAGAAGCAAAGCGGCCATGTTCAGGGTGGATGCACGCGCAAACGACCTCGAACCTATGCAGAAAGACTGGTATCATGAATATAGGCATCGAACGATGTGAACTCCTTTGCTTCTCGATCGATGGTGAGCGGGTTAAACGACCGAGGGGCAGTATCGAAGGCGTCGAGCGCATGCGCCCGAATGAGAGTAGTGGCCATACTGCATCCAGCAATGATACCACGGGTGGCGTACAGAGGGCCGACCGCGATCCCCGAGAGGCACGCGTATCTCGATGAACGAAAGGCGGCGAGACACAGGTGGAGTGCGCAGGGGGAACTGGTGTTTGCGACCGCGAATTTCGAGGGCTTCGAGATCGATCAGCTCGTAATACTTCTACATATCCCAGAGAACTGTGGCCGCGCAAGGGCCTTTCCTAACTCCTGCTTCGGACCTGAAAGCCTGACGCCAGGCGCAGTCAAGGGCGCCCCTGTGTTTTCCAGCCGCCCAGTTATCCCGAGAAAACCTTGTCTCCCAGGCCTCCGCAAGAGGCCTGCGAGCCCGCCCCCAGAGGCGGAAAACCGAGGGAAAGACGCCGATGGGACGGAAGCACCCCTTTTCCTTGGCCAGGGGGGCCACCAGGACAGCAGACAATTGAGTAGGAACGATGCCCGGCCGTTCCGACAGAGAAAGAGTCGCACAGAGCACTTCCAGACTGCCGTCGCTCAAATGCAGGAAGTGCTTCATGTGGAAACCATCGAAGGAGACCGCGCTCCTCGAAGGGTACTTCCTGCTCAATTTCCTGAGATACTCGATATCCTGGGGGGGGAGGGGCTCAGAACTTTTGCACAGCCGCCAAGGGGGGGTCTGTCGAACCTGCCAAAGGCCCGAATATGTTTTGACCGCAGCGTCGAGCAGCTGCTGGGGGTCAGACGCGAGCTGCCCTTCGGCAGACAGCGTGGTGCAGGGCTTCCAGACTATGGGGTCTTTAATGGCGCAGTGAGCGTTCCGAGCACCCTGACTAAGCTCTTCTGTCAACCAGGCGTGCCAGTCTTTCCCGGCCACTCCCTGGTAGTGCTTGGTGCATGTTTCAAGCGCCTCCCTTTGGTGAGCCAGGAGGGCCTCGAGCCTGTCGAGACAGGGGGATAACAGGTCCGCGAAGCCTTCAAGCCCTCCAAGGGAAGGGTCACCCGCTACATGCACGCAATTCCCTTCCCCGACTGAGGCAGGGGGTCCTGGCGCAAACAGATTCGGAGTAGCGTCAAGCTTAACGTGGGGATGAGAGATTGAAACTTTCTAGTCCTTGAGCAGGTCCCTGATAGCTTGAAGGTGTTGCTTGTTTTCAAAGTGGTCCAGCTTCTGAGGGGCCCACTCCGACTGGTTGATTGCATCGATCAGCCCACTGACCATGCGACGAGATTCGGGCGAAGCAGCACCTGCAACGATCGAGGGCATCAGCTGCACGATGGCCTTGAATCGAGCACACAGCCACCTCATCGCTCGCAGCTCTGGGTACCTACATTGCTTAAAGTCTTTCTGAAGGATCGGCTTCCAGACTATCTGAGGGCCCTTCCCACGAGCCCCACGATTAGCCTGATCCTCCCCCCATCATCATAACAAGCTCGTACTCCGAGAGGTTCGCCCACGAATGATAAGCCTTGCAGATGAGCCTGGAGACCTCGTTAGCGTCCTGGGATTTAAGAGCCTTCTCACCCAACTCCAGAAAGGCCTTAGCCCGAGGGAAATTACCAGGAGGAGGGCCCACCCCTGGAGGTGCTTCTGCAGGAAGAGGTGGATATGTCCTGAAACCTAGAGCTTGCAAACGGCAGAGGGCAGGATGAAGGCCGAAGGCAACTGCGAAGTGCGGCGAAAACTCGCTGTCGTTGCATCTCCGAATGAGCTTAACTCCACGGGCGAGGCCACCTGAAACAATACGTAGTCATAACCCGATTGATTTATTATAAAACAAGTGGGCGCACCAGTGTTCACAGTCTCGCCGTAACATTTCTCAAGCAGACCCGTGTCCGAGACAACCACTGGCTCCATGTTGAAGTCTCCTCCTACAACATAAGCCGTTCCTTCAAGAGACAAGAAAGTGCCAACTCACTTCAGTAAGTCGAGTTGCCTGTCTGTCACGCCTTCCGTGTCGAACCAGTACACCGAAGCCAGGAAACATTGAGCACCTCCAGGACGATGAGCAATCGCTCCCAGAGTACGTCCCGAATATAATTGATGCGGCTGCTTGAGTCCCAGGAAGTTCTTGGCCAGGATGGCCACCCCACCAGACGAGCCCCCCTCAGGCGCACGCAGAGCAGGCTCCCAGATACTCTTCCAACCATGTTCAAAACAGAACTTCGAGGCGCGGCCAATGGATTCATCATCCACGAGGTGATGCTCCTGAACTGAAATAATGTGTGGGAATTGAGCCGAAGGCAACCAGCGGAGGAGCAGGAGGAGGAGGAGGTGGAGGAGGAGGTGGTGGAGGTGGAGGAGGAGGGAGGAGGGAAGAACGGCGCATTCGATTATCAGCACTTTCCTGGCGTGGTCCGCAGCAGATCCTCACGTACATGCTCCTTCTACCTGTCCTATGCACGCAGGCATTGTGGTGTACACCAGCGCTGCGTTGCACGCGGATGCTGTGGTGTAGACGCGCGCTGTGGCGTGCACAGGCGCTGCGGTGCACGCAGGCATTGTGGTGTACACAGACACTGTGTTGCACATGGTAGCTGCGGTGTGCACATGTGCACTGGCGCTGTAGTGTACGCAAGCACTGTGGTGTACACAGGCGCTGCGTTGCACACGGTTGTTGCGGTGTACGCAGGCGCTGTGGTACACACGCGCGCTGTGGTGCACGCGAGCGTTGTGGTGCACACAAACGCACTGGGGCATATCGCCACCTACATGCTGCTCGCGTCGTCGTCGTCGTCGTCGTCGTCGTCGCCCGTCGCTCGTCGCTCGTCGCGTCGCGCGCACGGGCGCGGCTGCGGTGCCGGAGCCACACGGCGGGGGGGGGGCGTTACGTCATACCCCTTCCTCACCCTCCCCCCTGACGCCCGTCATCGCCGAACATAAAGAATCGC